CAGAGAGACTTTTCGCCCGTGGATTTATTACCTTCATTCTAGAAGTTTTTGAAACTTCCGACAACTTTCGCCTCGCGTCTTTAGGTGTCTATTTCTCTCGGTGGATCATTTACACTTCCCGCTATTACGATCGGGATAAATTGTTAAGTTTCCTTAAGGGTCGCAAGATTTCGTGTACTTAAAATGCAAAACGGTTTCAATCTGTGATGATTAATTTCACGCGCGAATGCAGGCGCATTCTTAATCCCCCGTAACGAGAAGAAAATTATCAGCCATATTCTTAACCCTTTGCGTCATGATGGGTTTTTCAGAGAACCATGCACTTTCGTCTACTTAGTTTTTAATTATTTTGATGAATTCCTTGTTGTTAAATACCAGTTTTTTTATTTTTGTAGAATCTCTAGAATATGAAGACGTGTTTAAAAAACAGTAGATAATTATCAATTTTTATTTGTATAATTACTATATAAACAAATAGTTAAAATTTGTTTTTGACTATGCTCTTTTGAAAAAAAAGTTCTGATATTTTGCGACCAATTTGAGCATCCTACAAAATTATTTTGATAATCTAATTATTTTTAAATCTGTATATATAGTTAATTGATCTTTTAGAGATTTCTTCAAAACTGTTCTTTCCGTGCATTTAACGCATAAAAAATTATATCCATTCCTTCATCCCGTCCTGAATAATTATTTATATAAAAAAATTTATATAAAAATTTATATAAAAAGGTGTATACCTGTCAAAAATATATAACTCTTTTCTTGCGATTTAGATATGATAACTCTATTCCTGCGGCAACAGTCTAGGAAGCCGTGTCGCGTTACGGAGTATTTCGCGCTGATCTTGGTTTATCTCTGGTTTGACATAAAGGCACGCGTATACGACGGACAGATGCATTATTCATACAAGAATACCCTTGCCGACAACAAGCAAGAAAACGCAAACGCTCCGTGATCCTTTTATCTTCTAGCGTTTCGCGCCCATAAAATCAGAGTGCAATCCTGACTACATGTATGTCTTCATATAATATGTGTAATTAGTAAAGTATATATAATATATATAATTAATGTAGTATATGTTAATATATATCGTACTAATATTATCTAGATTCCTGATTAAGCGGATCAGGGTATCTATTAATTACCTATTTTTTAAAGAATATTTTTGCATATAGTTTCCCGATGAAAAAAAGAATATTCTAATGCCAAGATATTAACCTTTTTCTTTTTCTTCTTCTTATTCTTACGTTAGATTTCTGACCTGCGTTACTGTGTTATATAGATATTAATCTCTTTATTTGATTGGATAATACGCAAAAAAGTTAATCATTTCATGTCATTTCAATCAGAACTGGTTATACTGCATAACTTTTAATTTTTTCTAAATTTGATAATATCATCACTTACTTATCAGTGTGCTTTAAAAGTTAAAAATTTTTTGAAAATTTTTATCTCCATGTTATGATTTCTTTTATATAAAAGCATAAATTTTAATATTAAAGTTGAGTGAAACTTTTTTGGTATCACATTACATGAGAAAGGTTTTTGTGATTATGTGGGTGGAATTGTTAAACAGTTGGTTTCCAAAAGACTTGAAAGAATATTCTCTGAATAAAATTTCACTCCACAAGCATATTTGCATTTTTTAAACATAAAGCATTTTATTTACCCTTATCAGTGTCAATGACGTTTAAAAAGATTCTGCATTATTGGAAGAAAGATTCAATAATACAAAAACTAGTTTCGAATACAAGAAAAAAGCATCACCTCATCTGTCTCAAATCAAATAAAATGTATACTATGAGACATCAGACTTTGCTAAATAATTTTATGCAAATGTTTCTTCTTATATTATAGTTAAATAGTCTAATTGCGCAAACTTTTCGGTTTAGCAAAAAGTTCGGTATTAATGAAATAGTAGTTGATAAATATATCTGATACTTTTGTGTGTGCTAAAAACTTAAAAATTTGTTAACTCTTAAAACAGATAAGTAAGTAGTAACATTACCGAAATTTTTTTTAAATTACAAAGTAATTTTAACTTAAAGCAAAAAATTATTAATTCAGTATATTTGCGTTTATAAAGCTTAGATTATAAATATTTCGTTATAAATGTGCAACGTATAAAAATCTTATATTACATAGTAACCTATTTCCTTGGACATAAAATTTACATATAAATAGCAATATTGCACTGTTAAATTCATTATATCAATTTATATTTAATTTAATTATTATTTTTAATAATTTCTATAAGTCGCAAATTGCTACTACTCAACATGTTAATTTAATTAAAACACAGCAAGAAAAAAAGAAAACTTTTAATTGTTAAACTAAATTTTAAGTGCTTAAATAATATATATATTGTGAATTTATATACTACCTATGTAGTCATTTAAATTACGTCGAATTAATTTTTCGGTATTGAAATGCAAATTTGATTAAACTATAATAGTAACATCACAAATTAAAATTGTCTAATAATTTGATAATTTGATACTCATAGAGATCTTATAAAGATCTTAATAATGTTTAATTAAGATAATAAAGTTAATAGTTTAAACAAAAAGAAGAGAGAGATGTATTAAATTTGAATTTAGTTTATTATTAAAATGCAAACGTAATATGAACATTGTTTACTTTGAAACTGAACAATTCAATAACAGAAATGGATTAATTTATATTTTGATAAACATGACAATTAAAAATAACAAAATGCTATTTAACTTAAATGCTATTTAAGAGGAATTATCATTGCTTTTTTGATGTAACAATATGTAGTTTCACGATATCCTTAGGGTTATAGGATTAAAGCTAAAATTGAAACAGTATGAATATGAAGATACACAGTGAAAATAAACAAAGTAAAATAAATCAAATAATTCTTTGCCAAATATTTTTCTTTACGTAGCAAAATTCTTTACGTAGAACAGCTTCAACGGAAGCAGCTAAAATATGTATACGATTTCTACCTGTAGCCATTCATCGAGCTGTTAGCTTACTGATATATACATACATAAACATGTAGGTATATACACGTATTTTACAATGCAAGGTAACAAGCAGTAAGAATAACAAAGACTTTTTTTGAATCTGTGTTCGCATTTTACTATATTACTATACATATTTACTTATTTAAATAATCACTTTATATGTACATGTGCGTACTGTGAGTATTATGGAATTGATGTCGAGTTTTATATATTTTTTACATTCATGATAAACGTGTCAGAAATTTCAATGAGGGTTGGGCAGCACGGAAGATCGAAATTTATTTTATTATAGAAAGATCGAGGATTGCACTCACCGTAGGAACCGTTGAGCTCTGGTTTCCTGATCCCTATTTCATGGCTCTCGTAAATCAAATTTCTCGTATAAATCAGATCTGTTTGCTTATTTATTTAGCGATTACTTATTTATTATTTGCAAGCCAATTCCGGGCATTTCACGTTAAATAATTTATATAATTTATATATGAAAGGTAACAAGATCTTTTACTATATTCGGTATTACCGTGGTGTATAAAATAAAAAATGTAATAAAAAAGTTTTAAACAAAAAAATATAATAAGGGCTATTTCCTATATAAATAAGTCTATTTTTTCAAATTTAAATTATACATGTAGTGCAATAGTAAACAAATACATTGATAAAAAAAATTGGCTGAATATGGTATAGCATTTTACCATTTAAATTATTGTAGAAGCAATCTTTTCTTTCAAGGTACTAAATACAATATAAAATTTCCTCAAAAACAACACAAACGCGCGAGGCAAAAGATTTCTTTTTTTAAATATAAGTTTTTCAAATTATTATATATTAATCAAAGTATAAAATTTTTTTTATACTCATTTTATATATGTATATATATACACACACATATGAGTGTGTATGTGTCAAGAAGAAAATTACTATATACAGTAAACAATTTGAGGATAAGTTATCTTGTTTTCTGAATATTTAATCCTTTAATTATAAAAATAATTTCTTTTGTTTACGCTTTTGAGGCTTTCATTTCGGGTATTTTCTTCAATTATACCAGAAGGTTTGCGGGTTATCGCCGTGTCTTTCTTCATTGTTAATGCCAACGTTTCGTGAACCGTGGTTCACGAAACGTTGGCATTAACAATAAAGAAAGACACGGCGATAACCCGCAAACCTTCTGGTATAATTTCTTTTGTATTAATTTGTCCTTTAATTATGCACAACTTCAAAATAATCGAGATATAATCAATGTTTGGAGGCGGAAGCCATTAACTAAAGAAGAAGAAAGAAGAAGAGATATCATCAATAATCACGAAGCTCTGAATATTTCTCAAAACGTTCAGAATTTGAAGAACTTATTATTATGCGCGAGGCAGCGTGTCCCACCAGCAGGCCGCAGCTAATTTGAAAGATTATGCGAATAATTTGACGGTTTTGATATTCTAGAAGTGAGAGAGCTCGAATCCTAAACTCTCGGCAAGTGTAAGATTAAGGGATACACATTCGACAGTTAGAACGGATTAAACCTCAAGCCATTTAACCGTTAAATATACGTATACACAGCAGAAAACTTATTAATATGATACATAAAATATGCATAGAACACTCAAGTATTCATAGTGCATGTCGCAATCATTACAAACTTTTGCGTTTCATGAACAGCGTCGTATTCTAAAGAGCCGCCAAGGTGTAGTTCGTAAAGTGGCTGTCGCCTTGCGTTAGTCTCTATCTAAAGAGCCGATTCTATCGGTTCGTTTAAGAACGCCAAGAGAAAATCCTCTTGCTTCCTACCGGGAAGAAAGTTGACTGAGAACGGCTGTGCCGAAAATTGCCTGGATCGCGAGAGAAAATATGCTATACGTTTGATACTCGAGCGCTTCGCTTACGTGAAGCGGGAGATAGAGATTTATCGGACGTTCGTGTGGACCGGTTCAAAAAAGCAAAGGAGCTTTCAACTATGCGATTCGTAAATTCAAATGAAACAAGTGACGAAGAATCATTTATTTTACTCACCCGAAAAGCGTCTCGCAATTCCTGCTCTTCCTGATGCTGATCTGTAGACGCCGTCGTGCTCGCACCGCCGATATTGCTGACAATCTCGACGAATTCCTCGAAGCTGACGTTTCCATCACCTGAAGAAGAGTCGTAAGACATAAATGAATAAATAAGTTGTCGATTAAGCTGTCATATAGATGTCTTGCGCAGCAAATATTTTTGAATAAATAATTTGTAATTGTAAATAAAAAAAGTGTTCTTTTTTTCATAATTGATGCTTTTAAGAGAGAAAGAGAGAGAGAGAGGGGGGGGGGGGGGGGGGGGGAGATGCTGCATTGCCGCTTGTATTCATCAGAATTTTATAACTTTATGCTTTACTATAGGCTCAAGTTGCATTCAAAAACTTCACCCGAGTATCATTTTATCCTTGTTGTTGTTCGAATGTTAAACAAAGATAAAACGATACATAGATACATCCGGGTAAAGTTTCCAAACACAACTCTGTCCAATGCTTCGCTCGTGAGCTAAGCAAGCTTTCACCTCTCCATCACTCTTGTCAGTGAGATAGAAAGAAAACAAAAAAAATAGATCAGCTATACTCATAAAAGAAGTTTAATTTTAGAGAGAGAGGATATTAAAATGTTTTATTTTTGTCTCTCTGTTTTTAAACATTAAAAAATGTTTTAAACGGTTTTATTAAACAAAACACTATGTGTTTAGAGTTATCTATCCTAAAATTGAAATATCTTTTTTATATTATTAAATATTTATTTTGCTAAGATGTTTAAAACGTAAATCTTTAAAAAAAACTAATTTTTAGTAACGGAACAGAGATCCTCTGTCTATTCTTTTGGCTTTCTCTTAATCATGCTCTACGAAGTGATGGAAAAGTGGAAGCGTTTAGTTCACGAGCCAAGTATTGGACGGGCCTGCTACAAGACATAGGAATATACTGTGGAATTTCGGTGAAAATGAGCGATCATGTAGTACTCTCCCATCTGTCTCTTTTTCTTTCTCACTTACTCTCACATCAAGAATAAAGGAATGCATTTCTTTCGTTCGCAATTACAATTTGTTTATTAGAAAATATTTGCTGCGCGCAAAATAAGACTTCTGTGACGTAAAAAAAATTGCGAAAAAGAATTGTAGAATGATTAACTGATTTCAAATATTTAACTTATATTATAATCACTGATATCAGTGCCAAGTATGCCCACTGATAATAAGTGAATGAAATATGAAATTTCGAATCTATCTAACCTTTATTATTTGATCTAACTAATCTTATTTTAGTGTATAAATTCAATGAATATAGTATAAAAGATTGAAATTAACATGTAAATATCAATAATTTAGGATATAATGCTCAAACCTTCTTTCTTTTTTAATTAAACTTCACTGATTACCCAGTGCCAAATATGTCACTGGGTAATCAGTGAATAGTGGCATACTTGGCACTGATATCAGTGATTATCCACTGATTCAGATTTAGAGAGATGGATAAATTTTAATTCTACCATTTCTATTTTACCATCTCTATTTTACCACTCTCTCTTTTTATTTATTATAAGTATGTACATTCATTAAAGTAAGATACATAATTTTCTTTTTTTTCAATATATTATAATTATACTTTTAAATAAAAAATGATATTTTTAAATCAAATCTATAAAAATTAGACCTATAAAATATCAATTAATTTGCAACTTATTTTTTAAGTCTTATTATATTTTAATATGTTTCTTTAATAGTTATTTGGTTTAATACTGATGTAGTAATCCTACGATTTATCGCAAAAAGATTTGATAATATAACTAGATTTTCAAAGACAACGAGAACGGTTTATCTTATCTTTCAATAATAATTGTTTTTCTTGTAAGTTTCTTTAAAGACGGAATAAGATAATATTGCAGTCATGTACAATAAATGACAATAATAAATCCGCGATAACCTTTTTAATTAAATGCGATTTAATTGCGCATGTAGAATAGAGAAAGACTGTAGAGAAAGATTGTAGAAAGAGGAATTTTTCCCAGTCGTTTAAATGCAGATCCAACACTCCTGAGCTCTCCGAGGGGCTGGAAAGGGCAGCCTTCTGATTAAAGAAATTAATTCATTCTTAATCTAGACATTGAGTTTTTTCTTCAACTTCTCTCAGTTCTTTCTTCAGTAAACCGAGTAAGTTCAGTAAAAAAAGAATCTGGCTGACCGTTTTGTGTGTATAATAGTTCCTTATTGAAGGTTAGGAGTCACGTTGATATTAAATACAGCCATCGAGATGCGTTTGTTGGGCACTCCACGTCGAACGCGAGAAATCTTCCCCGCATTCCGCTAAAGCGGTTCCACGGCGTAAATGCTTTCTAGCCTTCTAGGCGGTCGACGGAACCCCTTTATCACGCTAGACGCGTCATAATAAGAGGGAAGTACACGGCAATATTCGCACAAAAGCATAAGAGCGCAGGAGGGTGGGCGCGAGAGCGAACGAACTTTACACCCTGCGATCCGAAGTAATGTCCTTGTATGCAGAGTTTTCCCCACGTAAAAAAGTACCGCGCGGCATCTTTTTCCTCAACTTTTAAGAGAGTTTTTTTGCCGAGGCTGATTCTCAGCCTGTCGCACTTTGCTTCGTGCGAACGCTTAATTACGATTTCTCGCGCGCGCAGCACTTTCTATTAATTCATGGCTCTCAGAAAGGACCGTCGCGTAATTCTTTCATTTACAATGTCGGCTTAATGAATATTAAAACTGCTGCTTCATCATAATCTTATACTCTTAAAAATAATTTAATGTATTGACATTATTAATTTCAATACATTAAATTATTTTTAAGTGCTTAAAATTGTGCTGAAGTGGATCATACACGTACTGAGAGAACAGTATTTTTGGTATTTAAAACTACATAATAATTACATATTATCATACGAAGTTATGTTATCACTGTTACAATATTAGTATACTCGTAATAATAGGGAGTTTCTGCAATACCGTTTATCTAGATACGATGAACGCTAAAGTTACGTTATCCTTTTCTTAATTAGTTATGAAGGAAAAGATAATGTAACTTTAGTCCACCGGATAAACGGTATTGCAAAAACTCCCTAATAACTACCGTTCCTTTACTTCAAAAGTGACATAATTCAAAAAAGTTTTGTAGGTAAAAGAAAAATTGTTTTTCAACTTAGCAGAAGGTTATTGACTAATTAAATAATATCAACTGCAAAAAGGACATACTCTTAGAAATATAATCAAATATCACTTTTATCATTTTATCATTCACAATCCTTAAAAACTATCCACTCTGAGTTGTTTGATAACAATTTTGATAACAATTCTAAAATAATTTATTCAAAGTGACATAATCCAAAATATCATCAACAGTTTATATTTTCTTCGATCAGCTAAAATGACTAACAATAAATTCAAAATAAAATAATTTCTTATTTAAATTTCAGTCATCATAAAAATGTCTCAATTCTCAATATTTTCTGTATAAGATTTTCCTTTTTATTTACAAAGACAATACAATTAAAAATGTGTCACTCTTGTTGAAAGTAGTACAATCTCTTTAAAAACCTTAAGAACGAAACAAGTGCTATTATTTAACAGACATACTATGAAGTTAATTACTACTTTTACTTTTGATGATTGATAGAGTAACTTTTGCTTTTTTTAATTTATTCATAGTAATAATTTTATTAAAATTCATATTTTTTGAATTGTGTCATTGAGTTATGAAGTAAAAGAACGTACAATATGTATAGATAATTCTATCAATAAATCTATTATAAAATACAATTGTCTCAAAAAATAAGTGTAAATTAGAGTTAAATTATAATAATTGCAACCATTTTTATGGTAACAATAATTAAAATTTGTAATAATTTTTAATATCAATTAAATGTACTATGCATATATAATAATAAAACTGTATATAGTTATTATTATAATAATATTATTATTATAGCAGTAGTAACTATAATTATGGTAAGATATAATTATAATAAAACAATATCACACATTTTTCTTTCAGTGTATTAATAAAAGTAAAAAAATGTTTTCTTTAACGGAAAGTAGAAATGTCGTAAAAGTACATTCCATAATTTATGAATGCGGTCTTTTTACTTTTATCGCGCAGATATTATCAACACAAGAACTGGCGTTTTATTTTCAAATATATGAAAAATCGTTGCATAATCTGTATATTTTATCCATATTTTAAAGCACTTTGTGTAACTTTCGTTTTTACAAACATTTGCTTAAATAAGCGAGAGTAAAAGCGCGTGTGTGAGTGTGCTTTTGCTCCATTTCACCTAATGTTTTCCATTCCGCTACGTTAACGGCGCGAACGGGACAAAAATTCGCGAGCACGTAAACAAGTATAATCGAGAGATCAATGTGCATCGATTGTTGCGGAGTAGGATCGAGTTCGCGGATCGGGTTGACATTCGGTAATATTTGAAGGAAATAAATCACGAATGAATGCGAGAACACGTTTATCGAAACATCGAGGACTGCGTCGAGGATTTGAGTGATCGACGCTGGCGCCGAGTAATTTGCATAATTCGACCACCGCCTAAATAAACGCGTGTTGTTCGTGCAACGTACACAATTTACAATCCATTTCGTATCTGTCAGTCATCCCCAAACGAGCTAATTCTTGCGCAGCAGGTGACAGATTCGCGCTGGACCCGCGGCATGGCGATGAAGTCACATATTATACAATACGTAATTACAATTCTACGTTGCACATATAACTGAGAGAAAGATCGAAAAGACTTGAGACTTTGACGTTGTTAAAGGAAGAAAAAAATAATTGTTTTGTACACGGAAAAAGATGTTAAATTAACAGCATTAGCCATCAACAGTATAATTGAAAATAATCTTGTTTATTGTATATTGTTGAAAACAGTATTAATGAAACAAATAACATTTTATTAAAACAAAAGCATGGTGTGTTAACAAGATTAGCCAACAGCAGTGTAACTAAAAATAATCTTGTTTATACATTGTTCAGTTTAACGAAATAAATAACATTTTATTAAAACAAAGCATGGCGTATTTACCATTCATTAATATCGTTATAACAAAACTGTTCTTAATTAGATTACTGTCAGTTAATGTTATTAATACTTCATTT